TTATACCTATTTATCTGATTTATTTGGAGAAACGATACTTGTTATGAAAATTATCAACATGAAGTCTTAGTTATCATTACCGAATGTAGTTAGGTTCATTACACGTGATATAATATTTATTTGTCTTATCTTTCTTGGTGACACAACATCTAAACAAATTTTTTCCTAATAACTTTTTTTGAAATCCTAGGTAACTTTTTTTGTTGATTTTCAATTCATTGTTATAATTTTATAATAGTCACTTATTCGCAAGATATGTTATAACTGAAGCATATTTTATTGCAAGATTTTCTTCAAGACTTATCGAAATCCATATAATGCTAAAGTTCCTTCAAAACTCATCCACAAACTTATTGTAATCATTAACTCAAAATTTATTCTCATCAATTATAAAGTGATAGAATTATGGTCATTGAGTATATATGATCCACTTAATCAAATATGAATAATTTAAACCTTAAAGTAACGAACCCTTAAGTTTGTTTTACATCCTTGTCGACATTAGAGTTATCTATAATAATAACATTTAACTTTTTTTGGTAGGATTAATAGCATTTAACTTTAAGATCCATTATTAATTATGTATTTAGTCATGTCTCTTTATAGAATATGGAAACGATTGTATAATTTATTGCAAATATATTTCTTCTATAAACGTTATGTAAGTATGGTTCATACATTTTCCAAACTATATATTGACTTTTTACTATTCATCTATGTGTAGAAAAACGTGTACTATATCTAATAATCCTTTAATATCATTTATTTGAGTTGTCATATTATATATAGTTGTCTAATATAATTTATTTTTCAAATATATATACATATTTTGTCCAAAATATATATACATATATAATATTCACCTCTTTCAAAAATATGTAAACTGCAAAATGAGGTGACTTATGCATTTAACCATAAGGGTTATCACTGAATATGTTTTTAGTCATATTTATTCATAAAATATACACAATCATGTGATTTGGCAGTTTAATACACTATAATACCACGTGTTCTTTTATTTTAGTAATAAATATATATTAATATTTTTTTATCTGTAACAGAAGAGCTATAGTTCTATACTAATGAATTTTTATTATTGATCTTCTAATGTCATTTAATTATCCAGAAGAGGGTGTCGTGTTGGATAACTTTTTTTAATGATTCCCCCAAGCGTCGCAGAGACTTTTTAAAGTATTGATGAAATATTTCTGTCAATTTGCTAATGTTCATATTATCAAAAATTGATATCACAAAGCCACATTTACCCCAAACTAATTTTGTGCTGTAAAAATTTTTATATCGATATATTTGTGCTACATTTACGCCAAATTAATTTTTAAGTCACAAAAAAACCTAATTTGGTACAACCTAACAAGTCTATCCTTCATTAGCGTCTGTCCAATATCCTCTTTTGATTGCTAACATAGAAACATACATGGCAAACAACTCGGATGATCAGCATGTGACATGGATCCAACGTGAAAATTCAATATGATTAGGACTCCCAAACGTCATTTTGAAAAAATGAACCGAGATTAGGAAATTTGCTAATTTTTCCCTATGATCACCCTCACCTTTTGAAAATCTGGTAAAACCCCTAATCTTGCCCCACTCTGTCTTAAAATTTTAGTAGATTTGTCATAGATATACCGGTTTGAGATTTTTTTTAAAACAAAAATTAGTTTAGGATAAATGTGGCGCGTGGTATCAATTTGATATTTTTTGTGATATTAGTCCTATTATTAGATATGCACAATCATCGAATATAATTTTCAACCTCATTTTTTATTAGATATTTCAAAATAGAATCTATATATGCATGAATTTGTAAAAGGATATTAGAAGTGTCGTAACTTTTGTATGATACTCACTTTAGTACTAAAACTTTTCTCTCAATCACTTGAGTGCCACTTTGATTAAAAAACGATCACTTTAGTATCATTGGTGATTTGCTTAAGACATTTTTTTAATATAGACCACCCAAGGTGGCTCACCAGCAAAGTGAAGTTGGCATTATTGGACCTAAACGATGTTGTTTGAGCATCTAGTTGCCCCAAATTAATGAATTGGGGAAAATTTCAATGTGAACCCTAACTCTAATATTTCAAATTGGGGCAAATCACTTTCAGAATTTTTGGGGAAATGGATAGATGAATAAGTGGAATAAAAATTGTTTTGCTCTTGTTTCTTCTTTACCTTTTGAGAAAATGACACAAACAGTCCCTGAACTTTGGCCCAATGTGTAATTTGGTCTCTGAACTTTTAATTTGTTCAATGTAGTCTCTGAACTTTAATCCAATGTGCAATGTAGCTCCTGAACTTTTAATGTGTTCAATGTCATCCCTGAACTTTTGGTACATTTCAATTAAGTCCCCGAATTATATGAAAATGTTCAATGTAGTCCTTCCATTAATTCAAGTTCAGAGACTACATTGAACATTTTCATATAGTTCAGAGACTGAATTGAATATATATCAAAATTTTAGAGACCAAATTGAACAAATTAAAAATTTAGGGACCACATTGAACATTAAGCTAAAGTTCATGGACTACATCAAATAAATTAAAAGTTTAAGGATCAAATTACACATTAAGCCAAAATTCATGGACTGTTTGTGCCATTATCCCTTACCTTTTGATTTTACACTTTTATTTCTTAGGAAAACGGGTTTCAATGTTGATGTAACCAAAATCATGTAGAATAAGGACCACACAGCAGTAAAATCACGGCTACCATAAAAACCATCCACTAATTGCAGATTCACGAACTATGCATCACAACTTTAGTGAGAGAGAGAGAATTTGATGGAAATTTTTTTCCTTTTGCACAGAGACAGTGGTTAAGAAACTGATTGGAAAAGAAAAAGAAGAAAAAATTGTATGAAAGTTAAAATTGTTAGCTGAAGATGAACATGAACATGAAAATGAAGAAGATGACGGGATAGGGCAGTTTTCACGGAGGATTTGACCAAGGGATTTGTTCACATTGGACTTAATTTTTTTAAATGCCACGTCAGACTTAAAAATTCAATAAAAAAAATTTATGTCGGAATATATTGTTGGAGACACCGAAGTGTTAGATTTTTCTCAAATGTGGCACTCAAATGATCGCTAAATTTTTTTTGCTATTGAAGTGAGCGCCGTAAAATGACTTAATTTTTTTTAAATGCCACGTCAGACTTAAAAATTCAATAAAAAAAATTATGTCGGAATATATTGTTGGAGATGCTGAAGTGTTCGATTTTTCTCAAATGTGGCACTCAAATGATCACTAAATTTTTTTTGATATTAAAGTGAGCGCCGTATAAAGTATTATAGCACTGGTGATATCTTTTTCCCTGCATAAATAATTATTTTAATAATTTATTGCAAAAATACATGCAATCATAAATGATTTTTTCATCGAATTAATTATATATAGATGTTGCAAAATGGTATATGTATTTTCAAAACAAATATTTATTTATATAAATAGAATATGCTGAAGTACGTTGATTCGAGCACAAATTCAAGCAAGACAGGCTTTTTGCTTCGTGTCTTGTTCACGAATACCCTTGGGAACTGGTTAAACATACTTAATGGAAATGTGTTTGACTCTGTAAACATTGATTATGCAAATGAAAAAGATAATTAGGCATTGAAAATTATAATGCTTTCCTATTTGCTTACTCAACAAATAAGCTGGTGAACTTCTTAACAAAATTCATATAATTCAGTTATAAATGAATTGAAATTAAACGGAAAGGATGTGAAGGGTGATCAAGATTCAAGAATAAAACACACAAGGGTGCTGTCCCGAGTTCACACGAGGCTCACATTTATTAACATATTGTAATATGGAAAGGAACAATTACTGTATTCTAATAAGGAAGTATTAAAATTATGTCAAAGAGTACTTGAGGTTTATGCTAGGTCTACTCAATTTAGATAAAGAGGAAAAAAATGTATAAGTGACAAGCCATATATACTCTAGAACTGAAGATAACAAACATGTGTTGGGCACCATTTAGATTCCAAAAATGCATTCCCTTCTCTGTTACACCAGCCCTTACTAAGTAGCCTCTAGCTTGAGAAGCCAGAGCTTTGGCTCTACCACATGCTTATACCAGCAGACTTCCCTGTTTTTTCGCTCAGTCTAGTTCATAAAAAAAGTCTAATAAAAAGAGGTATAAGTTATTACGATAGGAAATCCTAAGCAAATCAAGCAAGTTCTTGTCACATCTCTTTGATCTCGGTCTGTACAACCTATCTTTATAAAATAAATGAGGACAATGACATTACAAGTGCCACAACTTTCGTATAACGCTCACTTGGTATGTCCAACTCTAACTCTAACTCTATTTTCTCCCTCTCTCAGACTTTTGCGCTGCCTCTTTGTATAGTGTGAGAGGCAGATCGTAGCCGATGACACTTAGTGCATGTTCGAAGTGCCACGTGTCTGCGCGGCACAAATATTTTTAAACAAACCTCTCGACTTGGTACGTATATACGTTTGCATATCAAGGAAATTTCTTAAGCCAGGCCAAGTAGCGCACCCACTTTCCACGTTATTGCACCCCTTTGACGCGGACACCAATTTGCATCGACTCGGCTGAATTGAATTGAATTACATGGCCACCAAAAGCGAGGAAAAGGCCAAAGCCCATCCACGCGTTTCGTGCTCCAATCAATGCTAAATCAAGAAAGTGAGCCAAAATCTTGGTTCTCTTATTCAAGCACAGTCAATTATGGCGGAAGAAATCGCATGAAGAAGTCCGAATGTGAAGAAACAAGGTTGACCCGTTGAAATTTCAAAGTCTTCCTCTCTTCTTACCCCCACTCTTGACGTGACGGCATCGCTATCTTCGCTTCTCGTTTCACTCTGTGTTTGTTCTTGTCAAGAGCCTTTATAAGTGTCTCGAGTCTCTGAATCTCTTCGCTCGTTCTCCTTCAAGAAGTATCACAGTCTCTCTAGACTCGATCATTTCACTCGTTCTTGATTCCTCCGTGCGAAAGCAACGATGGAGAGAGACCAGAACGAGCTGCAATTCCTTGGGTTCCTCGGCGTCTACCGAGAGACCTCCAAGATCATCCTCAAATGGAGGAAGATCTTCGCCCAGATCACGCTCGCACTCATCCTCCCTCTTTGCGTCATCTTCCTCGCCCACTCCTTCAATATTTTCGACCACGAGATCACCCGGAACGACGTCTGGGTGGACGACCCGAAGTACAGGAACCTGTCTCGCAAGCTCAAGAAGGAGTGGGTCGCGTTCTGGCTCGTTAGGCTCGGCTACTTCATCTTGCACTTCATCTTCTCTCTGCACTTCATCTTCATCTTCATCTCGTCTCTGCATTCGACCTCGGCAGTTGTCTCCACAGTGGCCTGCGTTTACGCCGCCAAGCAGGTTACTTTCAAGAAGATCATGAGTGTTGTGCCCAGAGTGTGGAAGAGGCTCATGGTCACTTTTTTCTGGAGCTTCGGAATCTTCTTTGTGTACAATGCTGTGGCTGTTGGGCTCTTGATCGCATGGCTTGTCATCGTGAGGAAGTATTCAGTTGGCCCTGCACTTGGGATTGCCGTGGCGGTCATCCTCTTGATCTTGTACGTCATCGGGTTTGTTTATATCACCATGATTTGGCAACTGGCGAGCGTGATCTCGGTTCTTGAAGATGCGTATGGAAGGAAGGCGATGGTGAAGAGCAAGAGGCTGATAAAGGGCAAGATGGGTCTGTCGATTTGGTGTTTTCTTGGTGTCTTGGTGTGCGCCATGCTGGTTCAGGCATTGTTTGAGTGCTTTGTGGTCTTGAACTTCGTTCCTACAGGAATCAAGATTGGTGTTGGGCTGATCTGCTTGTTGCTGCTGTTGATGGTGGTGCTCTTCGATTTGGTCGCGCAGACAGTGATCTACTTCGTCTGCAAGTCCTACCACCATGAGAACATTGACAACTCCTCCTTGCCTGATCATCTCGAGGTCAATCTTGGAGATTGTCCCACTGAAGGCCAGAAACCTGTCCTGCTTGAGCAACTTCATGCCTGATAGGTTCTTTTACTTTCGTAATGATAAATAGTTTCTGCTTCTGTGATTTTCATTTACCTGTAAGAGACGAGCTATAATTCTTTAGTGATGAAATTGTTTTATTGATTCTCTAACGTTGTCAGTGTTATAATTGTATTATCTATAATGTGATCCCACATTTAGTTTATTATTGCCCACATTAATTAATTTCATCGATGTTTATTGAGAGCATTCAAATACGTGATAACTATGATCGTCCAATATTAAGATAACTATCTTGGGAGAAGTTATCTATAAGGGTATGAATTGGGATATAAATAGATCGTCTAAGCCAAACCCTTTCATAATTTTTAAGATCAATCTTTTATTCATTGATCTTGGAGGTTAGTACAGATTCTTCACATTTCCACAAATGATTCTGATTATGCATGATTTTGTTTATACATGAATAATCGGAATCTTCAATCTTCCGCTATAGTTAAATTTCTAACAATCAGTTTATCATATAAAGGGTCTTGTGTTGCATAACTTTTTCAATGATTCTCTAACATCATGTATTGATGAAATATGCACAATCATGTCGTAGAGACTAGGGCTGTAAACGGTTCGGTTCGGTTTTCTTGAAAAATCGAACCGAACTGAACAGCTAAGGAAGCACTCCTGAACCGAACCGAAACTCGCTCGAACCGAATTGGAACCGAACCGAAAAACTGATTTGGTTCGGTTCGGTTCGAATCAGTTTTCGGTTTCTTCTTCTTCTTCTTTTTTTTTTTTTTGCTTTTTATTCATGGCTCGATTTTCTGTTTTTTCTTCTTTTTTTCTTTTCTTTTTTTCTTTTCTTTTCCTATAAAAATATTTTAGTCATTTATGCTATTCAACTATTTATAATTTCGATTACCTTATAAGTGTGAGTTCTTACGTTAATTACTATTTTAGTCATTTCAGTTTGATACGTCAAATCTTGTCTCTTTTTTTTTATATAAATTGTCATTCAATACCTCAATATGGGCTTGAATATTTTCGTCCCAATTAAAAAGGAATGAAGTCGAAACTTTAAGTTACAATCAATTCACTTTTTGTGAACTCATTCAGCATTTCCTCGTATGCGTATTGACATAATAGAAAGTGTACCATGTTATATAAGGTCAATATAATCCTATAGACAAGTTATTTGTGATATGATCTCACAAATAAAAGGAGAATTGGAGCTAACTGCACGTGGAGCGCTTATACGTAGGTTGTGGTCATTGAATTAATCTACTGATTTGTATTCCTAAAGCGGGCTTTTCAGGAAAGACAATCATTTACACAGTGATGCATCTGCATCATTTTCATCATCATAAAAAGCTCTGCCTTCTTCAAAATATTAGCAACTTTCGCTCAACGTCTAACAGAAAGAAGAAAGCTACAGGAAGTTTTCGCTACACAACCGCAGTGATCTACTCTAATGCTCCTTAAAATCAGCCAAACTGACCAAAAGCATATTGTTTGGGGTCTTTCATAAACTAACAGCGGATAAAAGACAGGTCCTTCTGATATAAGGTACAGGAGTCAAAAAAATTGGTGTTGGAACTAGTCTGCACTCACAGAATGAAAGAAAGAAACAGCTGCTTCTATCTGTGTTCATCAGATATATACAGTGACAGTATACACAAGACTATGTACTCTGCTTCCTCAAAGGGCCCTTGATGTGAATGCAACCCGCCTACATTGCTCCAGGAAGCCCACAAACATCCATTGCCCGGTAAACAACACAGTGCGACATACACTTCACGAAAACTCAGTGATCTCCTGCAATATAAGCATAACTGAGCATTCAGTATATTGGCATACAAGCTAAACCGTATTAACTGCTCTATAATGTTTTCTTAATTTGTCCAAGACAAGCTACATTGGGTGAGTTCATTGGCCTTAATAGATCTTTGCCAAAGCGAGGAATAGGTACAGTGAAGCAAGATGATGCATCAGCATTGAGTAGTATTTGACAGTAACTTGAAGGTCAACATCAATAATTGAACAATACTGAGGTTAAACATGGATAGCAATGCAGGAAAATACATGATAATCATTCAATATATTATATGGGATTGGGGAATGTAACAATAACAGCAGCTGGGCCTTAGCCAATAAGTAGGCTCAGTGACAAGGATCCTCTTTACATGTTACGTAACAAGATATCAACAGAAAAAAATAGGTGAAAGGAATAAGAAAAAAAGAAAACATGATTTGAAGATTCCAATTAACATGTCATCAAGCACCTAAGCCCTCCACAGGTACTCAGCACCACATTAAACACCCCCGCTAACTTATATAGAATCAGATCCTGCAAAAATGGTCAACTGTATCCCCTGCCTGACTATAAAAGGGTTTAGTTCCCAATCTCCCATTACTTCGCAACAGTCCCTTCTCCACAAATCAACAGTATATCCAGGAACAAGTCAAGCACAAGATGCATAATTATCAGATCCCATCTGGAAATCTATCTACATATATACAAGGATAAAAAGAACATCAAGCACTTCTCATTCGTTTAATGAGATTTCCGAATTGCAACAGAATACAGGGCTCGTTCTTCTCCAGTTCTAAGTGATCTCATTTCTCATAGTCAATCTATACGATGGTCATATTCACTAAAAGGCGCTTGATGCAATCTTATATGGAGAAATGAGGGACAAACGTTAGCCCAGTCTCCAAACTAGTTTTGACAATTCACCTCGTGTAAATGGTTAAAATGCCACAACAGTGCCCCAAGGGTAGCTCACTTTAGAATGGATTTCTATGACAAGTAGAACATATGAAATTATACGAATTAAAAAGCATACATTTCACCCATCATGAAATATAACTTTTAGTCTTCTTTTTATATGGATATTTCAAAATACAATCCATACGTACATTTTTTTTTATTAAACTAGGTTCCATTATGAAATATAACTTTTTTCAAAAATAGTATATGCATAAGAATTGGATATGTTGTGTTGTTACCTAACGCGGAAATGCTAATCAGGATCTTGCAATTTAAGGGCGCGTTTGATAAAGTTTCTACTTTTCTATTTTTCTGTTCTTTTGTTCCCAAAACAAAAAAAGAACAAAAATCCATTCCATTTGGTAACGTCAGTTGATTTTTTTATTTTTCGAAATAGAAAAGTGATCAGGAAATAGATTTAGAACAGAAATAAGAAGTAGATAAAAATCTACTTTTTTATTTCTAGAAACAAAAAACAGAAATAGAAACAAGGAAACAAAAAAAGAAACGGAAAGGTAGAGAAACCCTAAAATTTACTTATTGCCTCTTCTTTCCTTTCAAGCCGTGGCTTCAGCTCCTCCTCCATCCTCCGTCGTCTGGAGACCGTCTCAAAGCACCGGCCAGCACCCCCGTCACTCGCAGCGAAGCCCTAGCCAGTCGAAAGCCGCCGGTACGCCTTTCTGTTCTCGTCTTTGTTTGATAGTGTGGCGATTCTATAAGGACGCCGTCGAGCGAGGGCTGCCCTCGCCGATCTGGGCGCGGGCCACCCTCGCCGCAGTCGAGCGAGGGTCGCCCTCGCCGATCCGGGCGCGGGCAACCCTCGCCGCCGTCGACCGAGGGCCATCTTGATGCTGGGTCGACGTCTTTTGTGAGAGATTCGTGGCAATGCCACTTTTCTTGATGCTGGGTGAGGAAACATAGTGATGCTTCTCATTTCCTTCATCTGCTCAATTTATCATCTCTTTTTGCCTTAAGGAAGTGGTCGCGTGCTGATCTGATTCTTATAGGTAGAAATGGAAGGTTCGTCAAAGCGGTCGAGATTTATTGGTTGATGACTGAATCAAGAGGGCCTTCTGGTAGGTTCTTGCTGCTGGGCATGCATTGAAGATGCTGTCAAAAAATGTGCTCGGCGACATTACAGATGTAATCATTGGTATGCCTTGTTCTCGGTGATTCTCGTTCTCTCACGCGTGAACTTACCTTAACTACCGAATTCTTTCGCTTATTATGGATTTCTCCGGACCTCGTCAGATTCGGATCGGGACGTGTGAAAATGGAACTTTCGAAGAACAGCAACTAGAGTAGGAAGATTGCCAGTTATACATCATAAAAAGATTTTCCATCTCCTCGTGCCTTTTGAGTCCTGCAAATATTACTTAGTGAAAAATCCCAAAATCACGTACAATGCTCCGCAGATAGTCTTCTTTTTATGTCTTAGTCTTTATGGATGACTCTTATAATGTTTTGCATATAGCACCAAAACTAGCTGATTTTTTTAGCCTTGTTCATAAAGAAGGAATCGATTTGTCACAAGCTGCTTGCACCTGCATGTAAACGAATGTTTGGAGGGAACATCAGTGTTGTGATTCCCGGATAGTTGTTGTTATCCAATCATGTGGAACAAGGAAATTGTATTGCTATTTCATACTGTTGATAAGATCATATAACCATTACTCGGAAGTTGTTCTGACAGTTGTTCCAGAAGTCAATGTAGCTTGAACCATTTTTATATGTTGCTTTTCAAGGTGTTTCGTTCCCAAATGCATGGCGAGCCACTAAACCAGACGGACAGCGAGCGATGTACCCGGTACCCGACTCATTCAATGTATATGCCAGCTACATAGGCAGCCAAGAGATGGTTCGGGATAGTTACGCTCCTGCGAAGGACTGACTAAGAACTGGAACAACTTGAGCTGAAGGAGAGCAGATCAAGTCATGACCGGATGCCTCGTCCTATTGGATGGTCACTTGTACCCGATAGGCTGTGGAAACAATATTTACCCGGTCGCCATGTCCCTCGAATCAGTCGACCAACCCGTTTCAAGCGAACTGGTTTTGAAGGCGCAAATGGCTAGCTTTTGTTTAGGTTATTTCCACGCATAGTGAGGTCTCTCTTGAGTTTCTTTAAGCAGGCAGAACACTGGTATTTTGTTGGGGATTTGCTGAAACAGGTTGTGCAAATGGCTTGGTATTGCACTATTGGGAGACACTCACTCTGTACAAGTTACGAATTCAAGTTGTGGTGGAGTATTTGGCTCCTCATTTACCAAATTGTAAATTTCTTTTTTGAGATAGTGGATTCAAACTCCTGGCGAGGCTCGGGGAGTGGATGTAGGCACTGAATTTGGGCCGAACCACTATAAGTCGACCAGGCAAATTCTCTTTCCTTGCTCCTTATGCTTGATTTACTTCATTTGTTTATGTACTTTTGCTTAGTCTTGCGAGTCATTTGAATATATCTAGTCTAGTGTTTGTAGTATATCTTGGGAGAAAAGTTCTAGTCTTGCTAGAAGGACAATGCTTACGCTGGCTTACGATATATATAAAGTAGTGTGAGTTAAAAAGGATTAGACAAATCAATAATCAATGCTTATTGATTTTTTTCACTTATGACTTGTACTTATAGTTAAATAAAAGACATAGACTTGAATGAAAAAACTTGGAAATAGAAATTTTTTTGGTTATACAAAACGAATTTCTGTTCTTTTTTTATTTTAGGAATAAAAATTTTGTGCAGTTACTAAACGTATTTTTGTTCTTTTTTTATTTCAGGAATAGAAATTTTGTGCAGTTACCAAACGCATTCATTTGCTTAGAAACTCATCCAGGAAATAGAAATAGAAAAAACTATTTCTAAAAAGAAATTATTTTCAGAAATAGAAACGTTATCAAACGCGCCCTAAGTTAATGCAATAGAACCAGAGAAATAAACGAGTAACAATAAATGACATGAAAAAATTTACATGGTTCAATCCGAATGTCGGTATAGCACATCATTCATCATCGTGTTCTCACTCGTGCAGCCGGAAAAAAAAAAACAAGAACATCATGCGTTCTTTCTCTCCTCTTCGAGTGGCTCTTTGTCTTGAAAAAACACACGCCTCCCTCCTATTTATTTTGTTCTTTGGTATAACACATCATTCGCCATCATGTTCGCGCTCATGCAGTCGAAAAAAAAATAAGAACATCATACATTCTTTCTCTTCTCTTCGAGTGGCTCTTTGTCTTGAAATAACACGTCTCCCTACTTTTTTTGGGGGTTAATACCACCAAAAACTTTAAACTGGTATACCTGTGATAAATTTACCCCTAATTAAAACCCCCGAACTAGTACATATGTGATAAAATTAACCAAAAATTAATTTTTTGACCACCAAAAGTCTCAATCTGGTACACTTGTGATAAATTTACCTTTCACTAAATTATATTAATATCACGAAAAATCATAAATTGGTAAATCTGAAATCCGAAACTAGTACATCCGTTAACTACCAGGTGTCATCCGACTCGGTAACTTGATGGTAAAATTTAACGAAAATTGACAGAGGGTTAAATTATTATAAGGGTGCGCATGAATACCATTCTGTGCCCGGGCGCTATTTCTGAACAGAAATGATTTTTTTTTATTCTGTGTCCGGAAACAATTTCTGAGTATTTAAAGGCGTTTGATAAATGTCCAAAATTTCTATTCCTAGAGTAGAAAAGAACAGAAATGCGTTTGGTAACTACACAAAATTTCTGTTCCCAAATAATATTTTAATAATATTTTGAATTGTTTAAATTTTTTTTTTTTACTTTCTTCTTTGGCCATGGCCGGTCGCCGTCGCCGGCGACCGGCCACGGCCCGAGGCCGCGAGGGCATCACGGACCTCGCCGGCGGCCGGCGGAGGCGAGGGTCGCCCTCGCCGACGAGGGCGAGGCGGACCCTCGCCGTCTCCGGGCGAGGCCGACCTCGCCGTCGCGACGGACGGCGAGGCTCGGCCTCGCTCGATCTGGGCGAGGCCGCCTCGCCCGGCGGCGAGGGTCCGAGCCTCGCCCTCGCCCTCGCCCTCGCCGGCGAGGGCGACCTCGCCTCCGCGGCGGCGGCGAGGGCCATGACGCCCTCGCCGGCCCGGTGTGGCCGTCGCCGGCCGTCCGTCGGCGACCGACGGCCGGCTCAGCCAGGAAGAACAACACACAAAATAAGAAAAGAAAAAAAAAAAAAAAAACTGATTCTCAAAATTGTGCCGAGAAATAAGAAGCAACTTTTTTTTACTTCTTGTTTCTCTTCCAAAACTGTTTCTCGGCACAAATTTTTGCAAAAATGTGCCGAGGAACAAAAAGTTTACCAAACGCATTTCTGTTCCCAAACTATTTCTGGGAACAAAAGAACAGAAATTTTCACTATTTGGCACGTTACCAAACGGGCCCTAAGTGTATCAGATTGAAATTTTTGGTGATATTAATTCTTTTTTGTGTTTGTTCTTAGTGCGGCTACACCCACCATCTGACGGCTATTGTAGGGTTTCTTTTTTTTTTCGCTGAAGAAATCCACACTTTTTACATTTGTGTGCCCTTCTTTCTCCCTTTTTTTATATTTAATTCTAAGGACTCCACAAAAAAAACTTTTGACCCGGGCCCCCACCGAAAATTAAACCAATAGTGTTTTCTGAGCAGACGTCCACTATCTTCTTAGGACTAATAGATAAGAGGATTTGATTGCAATTTTTTTCTTTTTTCACTTTTGTTTTGCTTTTGCTGGTCCCTTTAGAACATAAACGGTGGTTAAAAAAATGATTGGAAAAGAAAAAGAAGAAATATTTGTATGAAAGTTAAAATTGTTAGCTGAAGATAAAGATGAAGATGAACGAAGAGGATGAAGATTAAGACCAAGACCAAGACCAAGACCAAGAAAATGAAGATGAACATGAAGAAGAAGAGGCGATATGGCAGTTTTCACGGAGGATTTGACCACGGGATTTGTCCACATTGGACTTATATTTTTTTGTAAATGCCACATCAGAATTAAAAATTCAATAGAAAAGTTACATAGGATAAATCATCGTTGGAGACGCTGAAGGGATCGAATTTTCTCTAGTACGGCACTCAAATGATCGCTAAAAAAGTTCTGATACTGAAGTGAGCACCGTATAAAAATTATAACACTTGTGATATCTTTTTCCCTACATAAATCAGTATTTTAAAACATTTATTGCAAAAATACGTGCAATCATATATAAGTGACAAGCCAAATATACTCTAGAACTGAAGATAACAAACATGTGTTGGGCACCATTTAGATTCCAAAAATGCATTCTCTTCTCTGTTACACCAGCCCTTACTAAGTAGCTTCTAGCTTGAGAAGCCCGAGTTTTGGCTCTACCACGTGCTTATACCAGCAGACTTCCCTTTTTTTCGCTCAGTCCATATGTACATAGTTCATAAAAAAAACGTCTAATAAAAAGAGGTATAAGTTATTACGATAGGAAATCCTAAGCAAATCAAGCAAGTTCTTGTCACATCTCTTCGATCTCAGTATGTACAACCTATCTTTATAAAATAAGTGGGGACAATGACACTACAAGTGCCACAATTTTCGTATAGCGCTCACTTAATATGTCAGACTTTTGTTCTGCCTCTTTGCATAGCGTGAGAGGCGGATCGTAGCCGACAACACTTAGTGCGTGTTCGAAGTGCCACGTGTCTGCGCGGCACAGATTTTTTAAACAAAATTCTCGACTTGGTACGTATATACGTTTGCATATCAAGGAAATTTCTTAAGCCAGGCCAAGTAGAGCACCCACTTTCCACGTTATTGCACCCATTTGACGCGGACACCAATTTGCATCGACTCGGCTGAATTGAATTGAATTACATGGCCACCAAAAGCGAGGAAAAGGCCAAAGCCCATCCACGCGTTTCGTGCTCCAATCAATGCTAAATCAAGAAAGTGAGCCAAAATCTTTGTTCTCTTATTCAAGCACAGTCAATTATGGCGGAAGAAATCGCGTGAAGAAGTCCGAATGTGAAGAAAAAAGGTTGACCCGTTGAAATTTCAAAGTCTTCCCCTCTTCCTACCCCCACTCTTGACGTGACGGCATCGCTATCTTCGCTTCTCGTTTCACTCTGTGTTTGTTCTTGTCAAGAGCCTTTATAAGTGTCTCGAGTCTCTGAATCTCTTCGCTCGTTCTCCTTCAAGAAGTATCACAGTCTCTCTAGACTCGATCATTTCACTCGTTCTTGATTCCTCCGTGCGAAAGCAACGATGGAGAGAGACCAGAACGAGCTGCAATTCATTGGGTTCCTCGGCGTCTACCGAGAGACCTCCAAGATCATCCTCAAATGGAGGAAGATCTTCGCCCAGATCACGCTCGCACTCATCCTCCCTCTCTGCGTCACCTTCCTCGCCCACTCCTTGGTCTCGCAGCTCCTCTCCTACAAGATTTTCGACCACGAGATCACCCGGAACGACGTCTGGGTGGACGACCCCAACTACAGGAACCTGTCCCGCAAGCTCCAGAAGGAGTGGGTCGCGTTCTGGCTCGTTAGGCTCGGCTACTTCATCTTCATCTTCATCTTCTCTCTGCTGTCGACCTCGGCAGTTGTCTCCACAGTGGCCTGCGTTTACGCCGCCAAGCAGGTTACTTTCAAGAAGATCATGAGTGTGGTGCCCAGAGTGTGGAAGAGGCTCATGGTCACTTTTTTCTGGAGCTTCGGAATCTTCTTTGTGTACAATGCTGTGGCTGTGGGGCTCTTGATCGCATGGCTTGTCATCGTGAGGCAGTATTCAGTTGGCCCTGCACTTGGGATTGCCGTGGCGGTCATCCTCTTGATCTTGTACGTCATCGGGTTTGTTTATATCACCATGATTTGGCAACTGGCGAGCGTGATCTCGGTTCTTGAAGATGCGTATGGAAGGAAGGCGATGGTGAAGAGCAAGAGGCTGATAAAGGGCAAGATGGGTCTGTCGATTTGGTGTTTTCTTGGTGTCTTGGTGTGCGCCATGCTGGTTCAGGCATTGTTTGAGTGCTTTGTGGTCTTGAACTTCGTTCCTATAGGAATCAAGATTGGTGTTGGGCTGATCTGCTTGTTGCTGCTGTTGATGGTGGTGCTCTTCGATTTGGTCGCGCAGACAGTGATCTACTTCGTCTGCAAGTCCTACCACCATGAGAACATTGACAACTCCTCCTTGCCTGATCATCTCGAGGTCAATCTTGGAGATTGTCCCACTGAAGGCCAAAAACCTGTCCAGCTTGAGCAACTTCATGCCTGATGGGTTCTTTCACTTACGTAATAATAAGTAGTTTCTGCTTCTGTGATTTTCGTTTACCTCTAAGAGACGAGCTATAATTCTTTAGTTGTGAAATTGTTTTATTGATTCTATAATGTCATCAATTTATCATATAAAGGGTCTTGTGTTGCATAACTTTTTCAATGATTCTCTAACGTCATGTATTGATGGAATATGCACAATCATGTCATAGAGACCTTTTAAAGTAAATGTTTTCTACTGTTAAATATCTATGTTATTGAGTTAACATTTAGTAATTTGCTAAAGTTCATGCTATAAAGTATGCACAATCATGAAATATAACTTTAAGTCTTCTTTTTATATGGACATTTCAAAATACAATCCATATGTACTTTTTTTTTATCAAAATAGGTGCCATTATGAAATATAACTTTTTTCAAAAATAGTATATGCATAAGAATTGGATATGTTGTGTTGTAACCTAATGCGGAAGTGTTAACCAGGATTTTGCAATTTAAGTTAATGCAAGAAAACCAAAGAAATAAACGAGTAATAATAAATGACACCGAAAAATTACATGATTGAGTCCGAATGTCGGTATAGCACATCATTCACCATCTTGTTCTCACTCGTGCAGCCGGAAAAAGACAAGAACATCAATTGTTCTTTCTCTCCTCTTCGAGTGGCTCTTTGTCTTGAAAAAACACACGCCTCCCTACTTTTTTTTGGGCGTTAATACCACAAAAAATTTCAAACTTGTATACCTATAATAAATTTATCCTAAACCAATTTATTAACCATCAAAACCCCCGAACTAGTATATCTGTGACAAATGTATCACAAACTAATTTTTTGATCACCAAAAATCCTAATCTAGTACACTTGTGACAAATTTACCTTTCGCTAAATAATATTAATATCACGAAAAATCATAAATTGATAAATTTGAAATCCTAAACTGGTACACCCGTCCATTGTCACGTGTTATTTGACTCGGTAACTCGAAGGTATAATTTAACAAAAATTGACAGAGGGTAAAATTATTACAGGTGTATCAATTTGAGGTTTTTTGCGGCATTAACCCTTTTTTTGTGTGTTCTTCGTGCGGCTACACCCACCATTTGACGGCTATTGTAGGGTTTTTTTTTTTCGCTGAAGAAATCCACACTTTTTACATGTGTGCCCTTCTTTCTCCCTTTTTTTATATTTAATTCTAAGAACTCAACAAACAACTTTTGACCTGGGCCCCACCGAAAATTAAACCATAGCGTGTCCTGAGCAGACGTCAAGAACTAATACATAAGAGGATTTGATTGAAATTTTTTTTCTTTTTTCACTTTTGTTTTGCTGTTGCTGGTTGTTTTAGAACATAAACGGTGGTTAAAAAAAGGGAAATGACACAAATAGTCCCTGAACTTTAGCCCAATGTATATTTTGGTCCTTGAACTTTTAATTTATTTAATGTAGTCCCTAAACTTTAATCTAATGTGTAATGTGGTCCCTGAACTTTTAATTTGTTCAATGTCATCCCTGAACTTTTAGTTCATGTTCAATTCAGTCCCTGAACTATATGAAAATATTCAATGCAGTCATTTCCATTAATTCAAGTTCAGGGACTACATTGAACATTTTCATATAGTTCAGGAACTGAATTGAACATGTATCAAAAGTTCATGGATGACATCGAACAAATTAAAAGTTCAGGCACCATATTGAACATTAACTTAAAGTTCAAGGACTACATTGAACAAATTAAAAGTTCAGGGATCAAATTGTATATTGGGCCAAAGTTCAGGGACTGTTTGTATCATTATCCCTTAAAAAAATGATTGGAAAAGAAAAAGAAGAAATATTTGTATGAAAGTTAAAATTGTCAGCTGAAGAAAAAGATGAAGATGAACGAAGAGGATGAAGACCAAAATGAAGATGAACATGAAGAAGAAGAGGCGATATGGCAGTTTTCACGGAGGATTTGACCACGGGATTTGTCCACATTGGACTTATATTTTTTTGTAAATGGCACATCGGAATTAAAAATTCAATAAAAAAGTTACATAGGATAAATCGTTACCGGAGACACTGAAGTGATTGAATTTTCTCTAGTGCAATACTCAAATGATCGGTAAAAAAGTTTTGATACTGAAGTGAGCACCATATAAAAATTATAACACTTGCAATATCTTTTCCCCCACATAAATTAGTATTTTAAAACATTTATTGCAAAAATACGTGCAATCATATATAATTTTTTTCATCTAATTATATATAGATGTTACAAAATAGTATATTTATTTTAAAAACAAATATTATATATATAGAATATGCTGAAGTACGTTGATTCGAGCACAAATTCGAGCAAGACAGACTTTTTGGTTCGGGTCTTCTTCACGAATACCCTTGGGAACTAGATAAACATACTTAATGGAAATGTGTTTGGCTTTGTAAACATTGATTATGCATATGAAAAAGATAATTAGGCATTGGAAATTGTAATGTTTTCCTATTTGCTTCCTATTTTCTTAGTCAAAAAATAAGCTGGTGCACTTCTTAACAAAATTCATATAATTCAGGCCTAAATGAATTGAAATTAAACGGAAAGGACGTAAAGGGTGATCAAGATTCAAGAATAAAACTCACAAAGGTGCTGTCCCGTGCTGAGAAAATTACCAAAAAAGTCCTAAACCTTTTGCAATTATGCCAATTCAGTCCTAAACTTTTTTTTTGTCAATTCAGTCCTAAACCTTTTGCAATTGTGTCAATTCAGTCCATCCGGCCACTTTTGGCCGACCAGCGCTGACGTGGACACCGGCCGGCTGACGTGGCAATTTTTAATAATTTTTTTTATTATTTTTCGAATTTTTATTTTATTTTTTTCTCTTTCTTTTTTTTTTCGCCTATCTTCTTCCCCAGTCGCCGGTCCGGCAACCGGCGAGAGGCTGAGGCCGGCGAGGTCCACTTCGCCGACCATGGGCGAGGCCCCGCCAAATCTGGGCGAGACCTCGCCGTCGCCTGGCGAGCTCGACCTCGCCCTGGCCATGCGAGGCTCGACCTCGCCCGGCGAAGGCGAGACCGCCCAGATCTGGCGAGGCCTCGCCGTCGCTGGACGAGGTCGACCTCGCCTTGGCCATGGCGAGGTCAACCTCGCCCGGCGACGACGAGGCTGGCCTGGCGACGGCGAGGTCTCGCCAGATCTGGGCGGCCTCGCCGTCGCCGGGCGAGGCCTCGCCCAGATCTAGCGAGGTCGACCTCGCCGTCGCCGGGCGAGATTGAGCCTCGCCATGGCCGGGCGAGGTCGAGCTCACCAGGCGACGGCGAGGTCTCGCCAGATCTGGGCGGCCTCGCCGTCGCCGGGCGAGGCCTCGCCAGTGCCGGCGAGGGCTAGCCTCGCCCATGGCCAGGGCGAGGTCGACCTCGTCGGCCTCAGCCTCTCGCCGGTCGCCGGACCGGCGACCGGAGAAAAAGATAGGCGAAAAAATAAAAAAGAAAGAGAAAAAAATTATTAAAAATTGCCACGTCAGCGCCAGCCAGCCAAAAGTGGCCGGATGGACTAAATTGGCATAATTGCAAAAGGTTTAGGACTAAATTGGCCAAAAAAAAAAGGTTTAGGACTGAATTAGCACAATTGCAAAAGGTTTAGGACTTTTTTGGTAATTTTCCCTCCCGTGCTCACACGAGGCTCGCATTTAATTAACATATTGTAATATGGAAAGGAACGATTACTGTATTATAATAAGAAAGTATTAAAATTATGTCAAAGTGTTCTTGAGGTTTACGCTAGGTCTATTTAACTTAGATAAAGAGGAAAAAAATGTATAAGTGACAAGCCAAATATACTCAAGAACTGAAAGATAACAAACATGTGTTGGGCACCATTTAGATTCCAAAAATGCATTCTCTTCTCTGTTACACCAGCCCTTACTAAGTAGCTTCTAGCTTGAGAAGCCAGAGTTTTGGCTCTACCACGTGCTTATAGCAGCAGACTTTCCCTTTTTTGGTTCAGTCCATATGTACATAGTTCATAACAAAGTCTAATAAAAAGAGGTATAAGTTCTTACGATATGAAATCCTAAGCAAATCAAGCAATTTCTTGTCACATCTCTTTGATCTCAGTCTATACAACCTATCTTTATAAAACAAATAGAGATAATGACACTATAAGTGCCAAAACTTTTGTATAGCGCTCACTTGATAAATCTCTCTCTCTCTCTCTCTCTCTCTCTCTCTCTCTCTCTCTCTCTCTCTCTCTCTCTCTCGGACTTTTGCTTTACCATCTTACAAAGCGTGGGAGTTGAATCCTACACCTGAAAGAAAATATTCCCAGCCCACTCAATTCTCTTACCTCTGAGCCGTGTGTCTAGTGCACTGACAGCTCTCACTTAAGTGCCATAAAATTTTTTTCCGTCACTTGAATGCCATAACGTCTAAAAAAACGTTCACTTGAGTGTCATAACTTTTAATTGACTACTTGAATGTCATAAATTTTTAAAAACATTCACCAAGTGTCAAAAACTAAACGTGACATGGCACCGTTTTTTTTAAAATTATGACACTCAAGTAATCAATCAAAAAGTTATATTAGACTTAAGTGATCGAAAAAAAAAGTATGACTTTTAAGTTAGCGTCGTACAAAAGTTATGACATTCAAGTGATCGAAAAAAAAGTTATAGTACTTAAGTAAGCGCCGTGCAAAAGTTATGACACTTGTGATGTTCTTTTTTCATACCAAATGTAATGTACCCACGAATGAGCTTGAGTCCTGTAGTGCATGTCCACCGTTGGATTCACGAGTAAAGTCACTCTTTTTAATGCATCTGAATGTTGCACTTAGGTTACTATATACATAAAAATGACACACGTGATTTTTAGCACTACTACGTTTTTCAGCTATTTTATGTGTGAGCTCAATAAATCAAATATATCAACACCGTTGAGTTTAGGAGCTTATATGTGTACTTAAAGATGCCCCCTTATTGTGGTTTACCTAAATCTATATTGGATCATGAACTATATAGATAAGCTCAATATATCTACTGGATTTGTACCTTGCATTATAATGTCTCTATTCTCATCCACGTTAAACTCATCGTGGGGAAATTGTGTTCAGTCTAAGTTTTTTCAAATTTCTTGACCGGTTTAAGTTTAATATAAGGTCTCAACTATGGTCATGCATAGAATATTCAAGTGCAAAATACAACAGACACTGAAAGGTAGATTGGAGAAATGCAATTAACATTATGGTTATGTTGATTTCACGGAAAAATCATGATTTAGAAAACTTTTTTTGAAAAATGATTGATCATGCCACTTAGAAAAATTAGTCAACGGAAAATGTTTTCATTAGTGACAACAATTTATGCCTACATATTATAGTGATTGATGAAAATATTTTTCATTTATTTATTTTTATAAACGATACAAGAATTTATTTTTCGAAAAATGTTTTCCAAATCTATTATGTGTAATAATCGCACCCTAAAACGCTTGTTCGGATTGGCATACACGAATAGATTTGAAGAGCAAATGTGTCGAAAAGGCGGATTATAGCCGACAACACTTGGCGCTTGCCCAAAGTGCCATGTGTCTGCGCGGCACAAATATTTTAAACATACCTCTACTTGGTCTGTACATTCGTTAACATCTCAAGGAAATTTCTTAAGCCAGGCCAACAAGCGCACCCCACTTTCCACGTTACTGCGCACCCCTTTGACGCGGAGACCAAAATGCATCGACTCGGCTGAATTGAATCGAATTGAATTGAATTTCATGGCCACCCAAATCGAGGAAAAGGCCAAAACCCATCCACGCGTTTCGTGCTCCAATCATGCTAAATCAAGAAAGTGAGCGAAAATCTTTGTTCTCTTCTTCAAGCCAATTCAATTATGGCTGAAGAAATCGCATGAAGAAGTACGAATGTGAAAAAAAAAGGTTGACCCGTTGAAATTTCAAAGTGTTCCCCTCTTGAGAACCTACCCCCACTCTTGACGTGACGGCATCGCTATCTTCGTTTCTCGTTTCACTCTGAGGCTGTACTTGTCAAGTCCCTTTATAAGCGTCTTGAGTCTTCTGAATCTCTTCGCTTGTTCTCATTCAAGAAAGATCCCCGTCTCTCTACACGTCGATCGTTTGGTTAGTTCTTGATTCCTCCGTGCGAAAGCAACGATGGAGAGAGACCAGAACGAGCTGCAATCCCTTGGGTTCCTCGGCGTCTACCGAGAGACCTCCAAGATCATCCGCAAATGGAGGAAGATCTTCGCCCAGATCACGCTCGCATTCATCCTCCCTCTCTGCGTCACCTTCCTCGCCCACTCCTTGGTCTCGCAGCTCCTCTCCTTCAAGATTGTCGACCACGAGATCACCCGGAACGACGTCTGGGTGGACGACCCGAAGTACAGGGACCTGTCCCGCAAGCTCAAGAAGGAGTGGGTCGCGTTCTGGCTCGTTAGTCTCGGCTACTTCATCTTCATCTTCATCTTCATCTTCTCTCTGCTGTCGATCTCGGCTGTTGTCTCCACAGTGGCCTGCATCTACTCCGCCAAGCAGGTTACTTTCAAGAAGATCATGAGTGTTGTGCCCAGAGTATGGAAGAGGCTCATGGTCACCTTTTTCTGGAGTTTCGCAATCTTCTTTGTGTACAATGTTGTGGCTGCTGGGCTTTTGATCGTATGGCTTGTCATCGTGAGGCGGTTTTCAGTTGGCCCTGCACTCGGGATTACCGTGGCCGTCATTGTCTTGATCTTGTTCGTCATCGGGTTTGTTTATATCACCATGATTTGGCAACTGGCGAGCGTGATCTCGGTTCTTGAAGATGTGTATGGAAGGAAGGCGATGGTGAAGAGCAAGAGACTGATGAAGGGCAAGATGGGTCTATCGGTTTGGTGTTTTCTTGGTGTCTTGGTGTGCGCCGTGCTGGTTCAGGCATTGTTTGAGTGCTTTGTGGTCTTGGACTTGGTCCCTATTGCAATCAAGATAGGGGTTGGGCTGATCTGCTTGCTGCTGCTGTCGATGGTGGTGCTCTTCGATTTGGTCGTGCAGACAGTGATCTACTTCGTCTGCAAGTCCTACCACCATGAGAACATTGACAACTCCTCCTTGCCTGATCATCTCGAGGTCAATCTTGGAGATTGTCCCACTGAATGCCAAAATCCTGTCCAGCTTGAGCAACTTCATGTCTGATGGGTTCTTTTGCTTTCTTAATCATAAATATTTTCTGCTTTTGTGATTTTCGTTTACCTGTAAGAGACGAGCTATAATTCTTTAGTGATGAAATTTTTTTTATTGATTCTCTAATGTCATCAGTTTGTCATATAAAGGGTCTTGTGTTGCATAACTTTTTCAATGATTCTCTAACATCATGTATTGATGGAATATGCACAATCATGTCGTAGAGAACTTTTAAAGTAATTGTTTTCTACAGTTAAATATCTATGTTAATGAGTTATCATTTAGTAATTTGCTAATGTTCATGTTATAAAGCGTGCACAATCATGAAATATAACTTTTGGACTTCTTTTTATATGGACATTTCGAAACACAATCCATATGTATATTTTTCTTTAATCAAAATAGGTGCAAATATGAAATATGAATTGTTTGCAAAAATAGTATATGCATAAAAATTGGATATGTTGTGTTGTAATCTGGCGCGGGCGGAAGCGCTAACCAGAATCTTGAAATTTAAGTTAATGCGAGAGAACCAGAGAAATAAGCGAGTAATAATAAATTACACCAAAGATTTATATAGTTCAATCCGAGTGTCGATATAACACATGATTCACCACCATGTTCACGCTCGTGCAGCCGAAAAAAAAAAAAAACATCATGCATTCTTTCTCTCCTCTTCGAGTGGCTCTTTGTCTTGAAAATACACACGCCTCCCTACTCTCATTTTTGTTCTTCGGTATAGCACATCATTCACTACCGTGTTCGCCCTCGTGTAGCTGGAAAAGAAAAAACTCTCCACTTCGAGTGGCTCTTTGTCTTGAAAAAACGCACGCCTCCCCACTTTTTTTTGTTTTTGTTCTTCGTGCGGCTACACCCGCCATCCCACGGCTATCAAAGGGTTTTTTTTTTTTCACTGAAGAAATCCGCACTTTTTAATATGTGTGCCAACAACTTTTGACTTGGATCCCACCGAAAATTAAATCATGGCCTTTTCTGAGTAGACGTCCACTATACGTCTTCTTAGGACTAATAGATAAGAGGGATTCTATTAATAATCCAATTCGAATCGTATTGCGCACGCAGGCTCAAACTCGAGACATTATTTAAATTTCTTGAATCGATCAAATACATCAAATTTGTGCTTCAAAAAGTATACTCATACCTTTCTTGAATAGCCGTCGATAAATGTCAACATATATCGAGCATCTCCTTTCAAAAGAACTGGATACGGGTCCCAGACTGAATGAATATACTTAACCAATTGCTTGGTCGAATAAGTAGTTGTAGTAAATTTAATTGGGGGCTACTTCTGCTCACGGAAGTCCAGCTTCCCTGTCTTCTGACCCTTCAACAATCCCCTCTCACTCAACATCATCTTATATGCCTCACTCATGTGCTCTATCCGCACATGCCATAATTGAGACAAGTCAGAGTCTAACTCACTTGATGAAATTGCAGCAATTCCGATCACAGTTTCTCTCAGTAGATGATAGAAAGTATTCACTCTTTTTCCTTTCATCACTATCATGACATTTCAAGAGATATTCAATACTCTACCTTCAGCGGCGTATTTACACCTGATGTCATCGAATGTTCCTAGAGAAATAAAATTTTTCTTGAGATTCGGTACATGCCTTACGTTTGTCAATGTGCATACCACCACACCATGCATCCGAATTCGAACTGTCCCTATCCCTATAATTTTATAAGCTATATTATTCCCCGTCAGAATTCTACCACCATCGGCAGTCTGGTAAATAGTAAAACAGTTCCTATCAGACGTCAAATGATAATGACACCCTGAATCTAGCACCCATTCGTCTCCTGACAAATTAATAATCACATACAAGATAGCCTTTACATCACTAGTGCTCTCCTCAACAACATTCGTCACACTACTTGTGACATTCTGCCTGTCACCTTTGTTTCTCCACTTTAGACAGCCTCCCCTGATGTGCCCTACTCGTGACACTGAAAACACTTCACGCTTCCCTTGAACTTTCTATGGCGTGACTTTGACATGATTTTACCTCTACCATCACTAGATCCCCTGATGTTGATCTCTATATCAAATCATTAGTCCCCGTGCTATATTTTGCGCTAAACTGTCATCTCGCAACTTTCTCTCACATTCTTTAAAGAACAAGGCAAACTTTACTGCTTTTGAGGTAATTATAGTGCGCTCCTATGGTAGTGAATTAATAAAAGGCTCCCATGACTTTGGTAAAAAAGCTAACAACATTATGCCATGCTCTCATCATTTAAAATCTTACCAACATTCTTTAAATCCATCATGAGTTTTTTAAACTCGTCTAGGTGGGATTTGATAGATATACATTCAGTATATATAAACTAAAAATCATCTTTTAACATGTATAAGAGATTGTTCAAACCCTTTATGACCTAGAGTATTGAAGTTTTGCCCACAACGCTGCGGTATCCTTCTCCTCAACTACCTCTATTAACACATTATCCAACATGTTCAATAGGATAATACTCATTGCCTTCCTCATTAGCATGTCTTTTTCGGCATCTTTCATTATTTCAGGCAACTTATTCTTGCCCTCCAATGCTTCAGCCAAACTTTAAGTTGTTAATAGCGTCTTCATCTTAAAGCTCAATAATCTAAAGTTGTTCCTCTCATAGAACTTTTCAATTTCTATTTTCGCTCCAGGCATAATTGTAACAACAGAATTTCCAAATAATAATCAGACAAGCAAAAACCTCGTAATAAAATTCAAAAAATCCTATCTTTAAGCTCCGATACCAATTGTTGTAATCTAACGTGATCGAGATAATTTATATTTTGCAATTTAAGTTAATGCGAGAGAACCAGCTAAATAAATGGTAAATAATAAAAGACATCAAAGGTTTATATAATTCAATTCAAGCGTTGGTGCGACACATCGTTCAAAAATAAGAATATCGTGCATTCTTTCTCTCCTCTTCCGGCGGCTCTTTATCTTGAAAGAACACTCACCTCCCTACTCTTTTTTCTTGTTCTTTGTGCAGCTACACCCGCCATTTGGCGGCTATTATAGGTTTTTTTTTGTTGTTGAAAAAACCTACGCCTAAGACTCCGTTCGTTTGGCGGAAAATATTCTTCCGGAAAATATTTTCCGGGATTTCCGGTGTTTGGGGGGGCGGAAAACGTTTTCCGTGGGAAAATATTTTCCTTTCCCCCCTCACAAAATAGCCTAAGTCTACGGAAAATGACTTCCGCTTCTTCAAAAGCGGAAATCATTTTCCGAAGCTTCTTCTTCTTCTTCTTCACTAAGGTCGCCGGCCACCGCCGCCGGCCGCCGCCGCCGGTCGCCGGCGAAAAATATTTTCCGAAACTTTTTCATATTGGTCGCCGAACACCGGAAAATTATGTTCCGGGAAAACATTTTCCAGGAAAATGATTTCCGGGAAAATATTTTCCAAAAGGAGAATATTTTCCGCCAAACGAACGGAGCCTAAATATGTGTGCACTTTCCGACCAAAAAAAAAAATTACGTGTGCCCTTTTTTCTATGTTTTTTTTTACATTTAATTATAGAGAAAACATCACAAAAAATCCCAAACTATATCACTTGTGATAAATTTATCCTGAATTTTTTTTTATGACACGAAAAATCTCAAACTATGCTACTTATGACATATTTATCCCCAAATACTTTTGCCTAAGGGCATTTTCGTCTTTTTTATGTTTTTTTTTCCTTTTTTTTTTTTTTTCTTTCTTCTCTTTTCCCTCCGCCGGCCATGGCGGAGGGAAGCCAGCGAGGGTCGCCCTCGCTCGACGCTAGGCGAGGGTCGCCCTCACCGGATCCGGCGAGGCCCGCCCTCGCCCAAACCGAACGCCGGCGAGGGCCGCCCTCGCCACCGGCTTCCCCCCGCCATGGCCGGTGGAGGAAAGAGAGAAGAAAAAAAAAGGAAAAAAAAACAGAAAAAGGAAAAAGATGAAAATGCTATTGGGAAAAGTATTGTGGGGTAAATGTATCACAAGTGGCATAGTTTGGGGTTTTTCGTTTTGCAAAAAAAAAATTAAGGATAAATTTGTCACAAATAATATAGTTTGGGGTTTTAAGTGGTATTTTCCCTTAATTATAAGGAGTCGACAAACAACTTTATGAACTAGGCCCCACCGAACCATGGCCTACTCTGATCAGACATCCGCTATATGTCTTCTTAGGATTAAAAGATAATGTCACGGTAACAATTCTTCAACATTAAAAGAGGATTTGATTAATAATTCAATTCAAATTGGGTTTTGCTGGCTGGCTCAAATTTGAGATATTATTTAACATGCTGAATAAGGAATTTCCTAGACTATGCACAATTATCCATATATAAAATGTTCGCTAAAATATACGTAACATAACGTTTTAAACATTAATTTTTTTTTCATTTTCCTTTTTACAACTTGGATGTAAGAAAGCTATATTTTTTTTGAAAAAAATTCAGCCTTACTTTTACATAGATATTTCAAAATAAGATCTACGTATATATAAACAATTAATTTGAAACATTCATTACAAAGATATGTGCGATAATGGAATATTTGTTCTCATCTAATTAATTTATAGATTCTCATACGACTTAAAATAGAACACATATAAATAAAAAACATATGTATAAGAATTAGAGATTTGTTAAAGTGACCATAAAAAACAAATTGCTAAGTAAAGCTCGTGCGCAGCTTAGTCTTGTGTGATATATATATATATATATATATATATATATATTGATCAATTTTCTAACTAAGTTTATATCTATCAGCAGTAAACATGATAAAATCCAACCTCATTAGTAATGGTGCATCTTCTGATCATCATAATTAGTGTATGGAAATAAAAGCAGCTTCTTTTGCTTTACCTTCAAACTTTTGAAACCAATAAAATATTGCAAACTCAAAAAAATTTTACGAGACAATATAAATTAGTTTTATCCATCGATATTTGTACGTTTTGAATGAGAGTGCTGATTGTCCCCATAAAAGAAAAAAAATCAAATTTCAAATCATACAAGAAAAGTACAAAAAGTGAACCAAACATACTCGAAATTAATGACAAATGTAGACGAAA